GTCCCTTTAGTCCCTGCATGAACCTCGTCACTTCCATGATATCAATGTTTTCCTCCTCTTCATTTTCACCCACACGTGTGTCCTGCAGATTGATCCTCACACTGCCCCAAAGCTCCCTGGCGTCCTCAGGGTCAATTTTGTACACAATCTGCAGCGGTGGCACAGCAGGGAGTGTCCAGATCATGGTGAGGTGTTTGATGCTGTGCTCGGCGTGGAACTCTGTCCACAGTGCCACCAGCCATTCTAAAGTGGTTTGATTCATTTCCAGAGGACCAAAGCTGCAGTCAAAAGCCTGTTGGAACCAGTTCTTGACCAAAGTGGTGAGAACATCTGACCCACTGCTACAGAAGAGCGGCAGGCAAGTAAAGTCATTTGAAAGAGACTGCAAGTAATCAGGGTTGCCGTTTATGCAGGTGAGCCAGCCACTCCACACTGTTTTCACTGGATCGTCCTTTTTGGCAAACAAAGGCTTTGAATGGATCTGCAAAATAACAAAAAAAAACCCAAAAACATCAGTAACAAAAAAGTGCAACCAGGAGGACAAGAATCAGCCCGTATCCTGGCTTACCTGTACGAGGACTGTCATAGCATCATCATCTGTCTCCGTCAATCCCTGAACAGCAGAAAAAGTCACCCTGAAGCTGCCTTGCTCCACTTCCACAGCCAGACCTTGCTGCTTCTCTGCAGCAATAAACGCTGAGAGTTGCCTGGAGTAGCTCTTCATTAGTGTATTCCTGAACTTGTACAGAGGAGTGACGTACCACAGCTTCCACTCGGTTTTTAACAGCAATGCCAAATGCTCTGGATTTACATTATCCTATGACAAAAACAACAATTGCAAAATGACCATGAACATCTTAAAAATAGTCTTACCTAACGAGTTACAATAACTGCTGGTATTGACTTACACAGGCCTTATGTGACTTTGCAGCCTTTCTGTTGCTGTTGAGCCGCCGACCAGTCAATGCTGGGGTCAACCCAAGACGTGATGCAGCACTCAAGCAGCTGCGGTAGGAGAGCCTATAGCTCTTGTTTTTGCTCCTTCTCTGAACCAGTACATTGTTGAAAGGAGTTCTAATCACGCTGAAAAAAATTACAAATAAGTTGCGTAAATTATGTAAATGGTTTTATAATGAAAAAACAAAACAAAACAGGCAGCATTAAAGTTAATAAATAAAAATATATTATTTGTGACAGAATCAGTGAAGGTTTATAAGACAGTAGTGAGACCTAATATGATGTATGGTTTAAAGACAGTGGCTCTGTCTAATAGACAAAAGGCAGAGTTGGGGGTGCAGAAGATGAAGATGCTGGGATTTTCACTGGGAGTTACCATGATTATATATATAAACATTATCTCTTGTGTAAATGTCGTCCACACTGATCACAGGTAGCGAAACTTGTAGCAAACTATTTTGAATGTAATTCCTCCTCCTACACGAGTAGAAACCTACGGTGCTCATGCTGGTAGTAAACAAACATTTTTTCTTTGACAACAACCTCTTGCTGACTGCAACGACCGATCAAATGAAAGCATTTCGACTTCAAGCAAGAGAAAAAGAGGAAGAGATAGAGGTCGATGACCCGCTGCGGCGAAGGAGCCGAAAGCAAAACTGCAAATAACAACGTAGTGCAACTCCTCTCATGTTTGGTTATAGTTGGCATCCGTTTGAGTGAATAAAAAAGTCTTATCACAAAATTTAAAAAGCAACTCGGTGTTAAAAACCTAAATAAAGCAACCAATGTCACAGTCACTTAATGTTTTGCTAATTTCATATGGGGTAAGAACGGCGTCAAATAGTTGTGCCACAAACCCACAAAAATACAAACCTTGCTTAATTATGCAAACTTAAAGGCAAAAAACAAACCCTAAATGCACTATGGATTTAGATAACTGAAAAAACTGGTGGATATTTACCTGGTTTGATGTCGTTCCATGATTCTTGTACCGATCAAAACCGGAAACAAATTTGAACATCGCGCTTTCCCACAAGTCTGCGCGATTAGAATTGACCAATCACGTCGGTCCAAACAGGAAGACCACATTATACGTTTTTACTGGCGTTTTAAATTATAAAATAAAAACAGCATGTATAATTTACATCTATATTTCCAACTATTCGTATGTCCTTAATTATACTTTAAGACAGTAATCTCACGTTATTATGGAGGTTAATGGTTTAAGTAAAGCTCCACATACAATATGAATATACGGTATAATTCTCTGTAAAACAAAGTTGTGTATTTAGTATTGGTGTGTGCACGCGTGTTTCACGAACTGTTAATCCTAGATGCGACGTACCGAGACAGTTACCCTCCCTGTTACCATGGAAACTGTGCTCACGAACGGTCGCACTGCATTATTTCCTGTTCTTCTCGTTTTCCCTTTGTCTTATCCCTTTCCTATATCCCTATACTTTTTTACTGTTCCCCACACAACCATCGTGTGAGAATAAATATGTTACGAAAATACCCATTTAAATGAATGGAAGTCTGCTTAACAGCGCTCACTCTGCCAGAGAGTATGATGACCACATCAACAGCCAATCACATTATTAGAGGCTGCTGAGGGCTTCGACCAATAGGGGGAACTCTCAGATGATGGGCGAACAGAAGGGAGCAGCGCCATGGAAACTGCAGAGGGTGCCATTAGAGAACAGTATAGTCCAGTGGCAGCAGTTGCCTGTATTTTTCACAGTCTGCATTAACTCTGTTAAAGAAAACATTTGTATTATATAACCTTCAAAATAATGGTTTCTAGAGATTTTTTATACTCAGTCATTTTGTTTAAACACTGAGCAAAATGTTGTTTCATTTGAATTGTGAGACATTGTGGGTTTTTTGTACAATTAACTTTTCTGTAAATTGCAAGCTTAAAACTAATAAAGGTTTAATGGCGGTGTTCTACATAAATTATGCCCAACTGAGTGGAGGATACGATGCCGTCTACCACCTCTAGGGGGCATTACCAACATATAATATGCTTACTCCTCCAACACCTGAGAAAATTCCACCTGCCGCCTTCGCAACATGAAAGCTACTGCATCTGCATGCAGCAGATTACATGAAAGTAATGTGACACAATCCATATTAAAAACACAATAATCGCTTCCAACAGCCATTAGGTGTGTTTATTATTTTTCTACAATGTCATAATTGATATTGACACAACTTACAGAATAAGAAACTG